CACAGTCACTCACCCACTCACACAGCCACTCACTCAATCACATAGCCACTCACACACTCACATAGTCACTCACCCACTAACACAGCCACTCACCCACTCACATAGTCACTCACCCCACTCACATAGCCACTCACCCATCACATAGTCACTCACCCACTCACATAGTCACTCAGTCACTCACCCACTCACACAGTCACTCACTCAATCACATAGCCACTCACACACTCACATAGTCACTCACCCACTAACACGTCACTCACCCACTCACACAGTCACTCACCCACTCACTCACCCACTCACCACTCACAACACTCATCCACTCACTCAGCCACTCAATCACACAGTCACTCACCCACTCACACAGTCACTCACCCACTCACACAGCCACTCCCCACTCACACAGTCACTCACCCACTCACCCACTCACACAGTCACTCACCCAGTCACTCACCCACTCACACAGTTACTCACCCACTCACACAGCCACTCAGTCACTCACCCACTCACACAGTCACTCACTCAATCACATAGCCACTCACACACTCACATAGTCACTCACCCACTCACATAGCCCCTCACCCACTCACACAGCCACTCACCCACTCACATAGCCCCTCACCCACTCACACAGCCACTCCCCCACTCACACAGTCACTCACCCACTCACATAGCCACTCACCCACTCACATAGTCAATCAGTCACTCACCCACTCACACAGTCACTCACTCCAATCACATAGCCACTCACACACTCACATAGTCATCACCCCTAACACAGTCACTCATCCACTCACACAGTCACTCACCCACTCACTCACCCACTCACCCCTCACACAGTCACTCAGCCACTCACTCAGCCACTCAATCACACAGTCACTCACCCACTCACACAGCCACTCACCCACTCACACAGTCACTCACCCACTCACATAGCCACTCACCCACTCACACAGCCCACACAGCCACTCACCCACTCACACAGCCACTCACCCACTCACACAGTCACTCACCCACTCACCAGTCACTCACCCACTCACACATCACCACCCACTCACATAGCCACTCACCCCCCAAGCCACTCACCCACTCACTCACCCACTCACACAGTCACTCACCCACTCACACAGCCACTCACCCACTCACTCACCCACTCACCCACTCACACAGCCACTCACCCACTCACACAGCCACTCACCCACTCACTCACCACTCACCCACTCACACAGCCACTCACCCACTCACACAGTCACTCACCCACTCACACAGTCACTCACCCACTCACACAGTCACTCACCCACTCACACAGTCACTCACCCACTCACACAGCCACTCACCACTCACTCACCCAGTCACTCACCCACTCACACAGTCACTCACCCCTCACACAGTCACTCACTCACCCAGTCACTCACCCACTCACACAGTCACTCACCCACTCACACAGTCACTCACCCACTCACACAGCCACTCACCCACTCACACAGTCACTCACCCACTCACACAGCCACCACCCACTCACACACAGCCACTCACCCCACACAGTCACTCACCCACTCACAGCCACTCACACTGTCACCCACTCACACAGTCACTCACCCCTCACGCAGCCACTCACCCACTCACTCACCCACTCACACAGCCACTCACCCACTCACATAGTCACTCACCCACTCACATAGTCACTCACCCACACTAGTCACTCAGTCACTCACCCACTCACACAGTCACTCACCCACTCACACAGTCACTCACCCACTCACAGTCACTCACACCACTCACACAGTCACTCACCCACTCACACAGCCACTCACCCACTCACTCACCCAGTCACTCACCCACTCACACAGTCACTCACCCACTCACACAGTCACTCACCCAGTCACTCACCCACTCACACAGTCACTCACCCACTCACCCAGTCACTCACCCACTCACACAGCCACTCACCCACTCACACAGTCACTCACACCACTCACACAGCCACTCACCCACTCACACAGCCACTCACCCACTCACACAGTCACTCACCCACTCACAGCCACTCACACTGTCACCCACTCACACAGTCACTCACCCACTCACATAGCCCCTCACCCTCACAGTCACTCACCCACTCACACAGTCACTCACCCACTCACATAGTCACTCACCCCACTCACATAGCCACTCACCCACTCACACAGCCACTCACCCACACTCACATAGTCACTCACCCATCACATAGCCACTCACCCACTCACACAGCCACTCACCCACTCACATAGTAACTCACCCACCACATAGTCACTCAGTCACTCACCCACTAACACAGTCACTCACCCACTCACACAGTCACTCACCCCTCACTCACCCACTCACCCCTCACACAGTCACTCAGCCACTCACTCAGCCACTCAATCACACAGTCACTCACCCACTCACACAGCCACTCACTCAATCACATAGCCACTCACACACTCACATAGTCACTCACCCACTAACACAGCCACTCACCCACTCACATAGTCACTCACCCACTCACATAGCCACTCACCCACTCACATAGTCACTCACCCACTCACATAGTCACTCAGTCACTCACCCACTCACACAGTCACTCACTCAATCACATAGCCACTCACACACTCACATAGTCACTCACCCACTAACACAGTCACTCACCCACTCACACAGTCACTCACCCACTCACTCACCCACTCACCCCACACAGTCACTCAGCCACTCACTCAGCCACTCAATCACACAGTCACTCACCCACTCACACAGTCACTCACCCACTCACACAGCCACTCACCCACTCACACAGTCACTCACCCATTCACCCACTCACACAGTCACTCACCAGTCACTCACCCACTCACACAGTTACTCACCCACACACACAGCCACTCACCCACTCACACAGCCACTCACACACTCACATAGTCACTCACCCACTAACACAGTCACTCATCCACTCACACAGTCACTCACCCACTCACTCACCCACCACCCCCTCACAGTCACTCAGCCACTCACTCAGCCACTCAATCACACAGTCACTCACCCACTCACACAGCCACTCACCCACTCACACAGTCACTCACCCACTCACATAGCCACTCACCCACTCACACAGCCACTCACCCACTCACATAGCCACTCACCCACTCACACAGTCACTCACCCACTCACACAGTCACTCACCCACTCACACAGCCACTCACCCACTCACATAGCCACTCACCCCTCACACAGCCACTCACCCACTCACTCACCACTCTCACACAGTCACTCACCCACTCACACAGCCACTCACCCACTCACTCACCCACTCACCCACCACAGTCACTCACCCACTCACACAGCCACTCACCGACTCACTCACCCACTCACCCACTCACACAGCCACTCACCCACTCACACAGTCACTCACCCACTCACACAGTCACTCACCCACTCACACAGTCACTCACCCACTCACACAGTCACTCACCCACTCACACAGCCACTCACCCACTCACTCACCCAGTCACTCACCCACTCACACAGTCACTCACCCACTCACACAGTCACTCACCCAGTCACTCACCCACTCACACAGTCACTCACCCACTCACACAGTCACTCACCCACTCACACAGCCACTCACCCACTCACACAGTCACTCACCCACTCACACAGCCACTCACCCACTCACACAGCCACTCACCCACTCACACAGCCACTCACCCACTCACAGCCACTCACACTGTCACCACTCACACAGTCACTCACCCACTCACGCAGCACTCACCCACTCACTCACCCACTCACACAGCCACTCACCCACTCACATAGTCACTCACCCACTCACATAGTCACTCACCCACTCACATAGTCACTCAGTCACTCACCCACTCACACAGTCACTCACTCAATCACATAGCCACTCACACACTCACATAGTCACTCACCCACTCACATAGCCCCTCACCCACTCACAGTCACTCACCCACTCACACAGTCACTCACCCACTCACATAGTCACTCACCCACTCACATAGCCACTCACCCACTCACACAGCCACTCACCCACTCACATAGTCACTCACCCACTCACATAGCCACTCACCCACTCACACAGCCACTCACCCACTCACATAGTAACTCACCCACTCACATAGCTACTCACCCACTCACATAGTCACTCACCCACTCACATAGTCACTCAGTCACTCACCCACTAACACAGTCACTCACCCACTCTCACAGTCACTCACCCACTCACTCACCCACTCACCCCTCACACAGTCACTCAGCCACTCACTCAGCCACTCAATCACACAGTCACTCACCCACTCACACAGCCACTCACAATCACATAGCCACTCACACACTCACATAGTCACTCACCCACTAACACAGCCACTCACCCACTCACATAGTCACCCACTCACATAGCCACTCACCCACTCACATAGTCACTCACCCACTCACATAGTCACTCAGTCACTCACCCACTCACACAGTCACTCACTCAATCACATAGCCACTCACACACTCACATAGTCACTCACCCACTAACACAGTCACTCACCCACTCACACAGTCACTCACCCACTCACTCACCCACTCACCACTCACACAGTCACTCAGCCACTCACTCAGCCACTCAATCACACAGTCACTCACCCACTCACACAGTCACTCACCCACTCACACAGCCACTCACCCACTCACACAGTCACTCACCACTCACCCACTCACACAGTCACTCACCCAGTCACTCACCCACTCACACAGTTACTCACCCACTCACACAGCCACTCACCCACTCACACAGTCACTCACCCACTCACACAGTCACTCACCCACTCACACAGCCACTCACCCACTCACACAGTCACTCACACCACTCACCCACTCACACAGTCACTCACCCACTCACCCACTCACACAGTCACTCACCCACTCACACAGTCACTCACCCTCACTCACACCACTCACACAGTCACTCACCCACTCACACAGCCACTCACCACCTCCGATGACATCGGGTCAAGCTCAACGGCAACCACAGGGCAATGGCAACCAGCGGCAGAGAGCGCCCGAGAGGGAGACGGAGTGACGGGAGTGGGGAGGAATGACTCGGAGCTCCGAGAGTCCCGGTCACCTTCTCACCTTCTCCTCATTGCTCTTGACGCGTTTCTTCAGGAATCCTCCTCCTCCTCCTCCTGCT